TCCATAATGTTAAAATAGTATCGATATTGAAGTAGGTATCAGTACCATAGAAGAGAAGTATCGGTACTGTGTGTAGAGTACCAATACTATTCAGTTTGAAAGTTTAAATTATGTGTTTCATTTCGATTATGTAAATGCTAATTGGTTAGACGTGAGATTCAGTATTTATCTTGGACATGTTGATGTGTAGAGTTGTATCGAAAGTGTATCAAACGAATCGACGTAGTGAAAAGATTGAACAAACGTTTAAAGGATTTGATTTAGGACTTACGTGAGGCAAATGTGAGTGCATTTTACTATACTTTTATATATAATAGGAGGAAGATTCGCGATGAGTCAACCTCGAATGTTTTGAAAGAAAAAGGTTTTGAATTTTATTATGAAATACTTTTATCATACTTTGTTAAATAAATTTTGAATAATTTGGTTTGTGAAGAACCAAATCTTGAAAGTTTGATAATGAAATTGATTTGGTTTATGTTAATATAATTTTTTTTATATTTTGATATATTCGTGTTTATGAACTTTGACATGAAATGATATATGGATTTAATTATAATATTATGTGAAATCCTATGAGTACATGTTATATGTGAAGATGTTCTATGTGAATATGTGCTAAGTGAATATGTTCTATGCGAATGTAAATTATGTGAATAAAAGATACTTTGAATAATGAAATGTGAAATAATTATATGGTTAAAGTCCAAAGTATATGTTATGAGAATTAGAGGTATAGTTGGCATGCCAAGAGTCGAGGATTCTACGCGGTCCTTCGGGACAAATTCTACGCGATCTTTCGGGACAAATTTATGTGGCACTTCGGTGCATATTCTATATGGCACTTCAGTGCAAATTCTGTGTGGCAGTGGTGACTGCAATTATAGTGCACAACCTCATTTTACTTACATACCTTGAGTTCCCAGTGATATACGTTGGGCTAATTAAACAAATTGATATGGATTGAAAAGTGTATAATTGTATATGTAGTTTTTCTGAAATGTAAATTGATTAGGAATTGAACAGTGCCTAAAAATCTATTTTATTTATATGAAACGTAAATTGATTTTCGTATTAAGTATTTTCTTTGAAATGTTTAAATAAATGTTTTATTGTTTTATATTACTCATTATGTCTTACTAAGTCAAAAACTTAGCGTGTGAGTGTTTTCACACGTAGGTTCAGAGGAGTAAGCAGAGTAAGCAGAGTAAGCAAGGGAAAGACGTCATATATTTGAAGAGTATCAGATCAGAGAAATTTGAATCGTATGTGATTTTGTTATTGGAATTTTTGGTTGGCATGTATCATAAATGTTTAAAGTGTAGATGCTCTGATATGCATTTTAACTATGTTTTATTAAGTTTTGCTTTCCTTGTTAAGTTTTAGTTGCATTTTAAATGAGTCAAAGCGTTTGAAAAGTCAATGTGACACCTCATATTCGTATCTGGGTCGAGTACGGATCGGGGGTGTTATAGTCGTCGATCTCCCAAGATCCAACAACGAGATGATTTGTGCACAGTAGCACAACTGTCGATATCGCGAAACATTCTTTGCCTTTGACTATCACAAAAAAGATTAGAGGATAAAACTTTTTCAATAGTTTTTGAGTTGTTTTTGAATTGTGTTTAACCTAGTAGGTTTACACGGTATTTATAGGGATTTCAAATTGTAAACAATTAGAAATTTTTTGACCTAATGAAGCATTAATGAGAATTAAACAATCAAACAATTTTCAAAAGTATTGTTTTGATTAAAGGAACCTTTTAATATTTATCATTTTAATTCTAAAATAAATTTTAAAAAGATATTCTCTATATTTAAGGAAAAAATATTTCATTTTTGGATTAAAATATCCTCAAGCCCACAAAAGACTTGACCGGTTCGGACATTAACGTTGCCCACATCGTGATTTTCGTACCAATAATTGATTTTACATTTTCCTCAATAATATTTAGATCAATTTCTCATTCAAAGTTTCAAAATTATCGATTTTTTCCAACAGAATCATAGAGCCTCGACATTGTTGGACTTTTCAAATACGGTGACTAGATGACCTTCTCTTTGAAGCTCCCTGGTCGTGACTAGCCCTGCTAAGCCACCACCGACCACCGCTACTTTATAAGCTTCTCTCATTCTAACTGTAACGATGGACGCCTTACTTCTTCTGGTACTAAGAATCCCGGTTTCACCGTTTCGATAACGAGATTTCGTTTATCCATGAAATAGTGAACATAATTCGTGGCATACAACGATAAAACAGTGCTTCTCTTGATGTCATTCCAGAACCACGTTCTGCATTCTCAAATATCTTAAGGGTACATTACCTTATTTAGTCAGTTAATTATTATTGTGTTTCTACTTTATTCACTGTCATTTACATCACTTATATGTAGGGTGTAAATAAATTGAGTGTTTGATAAACTATTCGTAAACTATTTATTTATATTCTTTTATTGAATAAAATGTCCAATTTGTTTATGTTGACGAATAAACTCATTTATTGACTTACTTTTTACTCTGTTCTTCTTTTCTTTTCTTTTTATATTTTAAATATTGATGAAGATATGAATCAAATTAAACATAAAGTAAATCTTGGAGTCCAAATTATTTTAAAATATAATTTTTTTTATTTTTTCCTTTTTGAAATTATTATTTTTTAATTTAAAATGTTAGTTTCTTTTCTTTTTTTTTTAAAATTTTAACGTTAATTGTTGATATGATAATATCTGCATAAAAAGATAATTGAAAATTTAGTTTTTTATATTTGCAATTTTTATCGATTGGACTCTTAATTTTTTTTAAAATAAATATTTAAATATCACCGATTGAACTATACAATTTCTCAATCATTCTACGTTTACATTTTTTAAGGGTCAACTTGCTAAAAATTTATAAATATAGAGGATTATAAAATCTATTTTTCCTTTTTTACATTTACTAGATCAACAGTTACGGTAAAACTGAAACACCTTAGTTAGAGGGGATTTTTCAAATAAAAATTATAGGACTTAATTTTGTAAAAGTAAAAATATAGGAACTAAATTTTAAATACCCCTGACATATTTAAACCAAGCTAAAAGGTTTCCTTATATGGTCAAATTGCAGTTCGATCCCTCCACAGATTATAAATTAGTACAATGGTGTGCAGTGGTGTATAGGTTGGTTAATTGACTTTGGAGCTCTTAAGTAATTGGGTGATGAGCTTTGTGAAGTCAAATAAATGAAAACTTAGACTCCATCGATGAGCATTTTTTCTAAAGATTTTAATATTTCCATTAGGGTTTGACCTTGATTTTAATATGTTATTTGGTACTTAAATCTCACTTCATAATTAAATACGAAGATGCCTTAAATTAAATATATGCTTAATTTTTTTTTTTTTTTTTTTGAAAACAGATCATGTATTGAATGAACGTATAGAGTACACAGAAGAGGAGAGTAGAAATTAAAAAGGACCAAAGCATTATTAAGCAAAGTGAAACAACTAAAACATACACAGCAGGCACAAGACACGACCGAACATTTACTATTTCATACGATCACGATATACGAACCAAAATTTCTTCGTTCACGAGGTGACAAGCTCCGGTTTAGTTTGCTGCTCCACTTCCAGCCGGCGTTGGCCTCTCCGGTTTCCTTTTCTGTTGCTTTGCTGCGAGGACAGCGCCGCTTGCTTCCCCCGGCTTCTTTAAGATTCCGGCGGCGTTGGAATCCTCCGTCTACAAGGCCCCCGAACATCACCCCCAAGAGAAACGTTGTACCACTCTTCATACTCGTTTTTATGCTTGATCGGATTTGTTTTGACAAAGTTGGGAAATTTTTAGGAGCAACCTGATTATGCGTTTCCCAGGCTTTTGTTATCCATCATTTATAGTGAATGTTCACCCACTCAAGGCTAATTGGCTAACCCCTCCCGGTTCGTTTACTTGATTGACTTGCGTATATTCCAAGTTCTTTGATAAATAAAGGGTTAATTGTGATACACATCCTAAATTGTTGCGCAGATTCCAAGTTGCTTCAAAATCATTCTAATTTAATCTTTAAAGTATTAGTATTGTATCAATCATACCTTTGCATTAGCATATTTGTTAATTTAGGCACTTTCAAATGCGATGTAAGCATGATTAAATACGTGAATCGAATTACAAGGGGTACATTACCTATTTGGTTACACACCAATTACGTAATACTTAGTTTTCGACTTTCGACATTTAAATATTACTTATTTTTCAAAATCATGCTCAATTTTACGTTTTTATTTTATTTTTATTTTGATCATCGATTATTAAAAAATTAACACGATGCTTACGTGTCATCGTAAGATTGAAACGCGGATGAAGTCTATGTTGCAACTATCACCTCCACCATAATTATTAAAAACGATAAAAAAAAATTAAAGTAAAATATGTCAATACTATTGAATTTTAGGGTGCGAATCCTTTGTCTCAATCAACTTTCGATTTTTTAAATTATAATATTATATTATATTTTTATTTTTAACAATATGGAATAAGTAATCTAAAAAGAACAACATTATTTTTTTATTATCGGGTGATGAGTTCAATTTTAGTTTTAACTTAAATATACTATTAGATCATTACGATTTTAACGACGCAACGATCTAAGTAAATCTTTTCATCATTATGTTAGCAAGAACAAAACGATGTCATTTTATTAATAACATCATTTTGATATTAAACTTTAACAATATCAATTTTATTTTATTTTTTGGTACCAAAATCAATTTTATTATTAAACTTCTAAATACTTTTAATTTTGATTTTTTTTTATATTCTCAACACCTATCGGTAATCATTTTTCATAATAAGGTTATTATCATAACATCAATATTTTATTCTTCCTTTTTAATAAAAATAATTCAAAATTAACATCATTAAATATTCGTCGGAAAAAAAGATAAAAGATTAGATATTTAGATAAGTATTAATTAAGCCCATTCATTTACACCCTTAATTTATAATAACATAGGCAGAGGCGCGAAAGGCAAAGGAAAGGAACATTTGCGAAGGGAAACCTGGTCCAATTCTTCAACAAAGTCGCGCAAGAAATCTACTGGGAAATTACAAGACACAATGTCGAAACGCGAAATCTCTAATTCTGTATCAGATGAAAGCGAAAGTCAAATTGAAGAGAATTTAAGCGAGGAGAAAGAAGAAGATGATGAAGTAATCCTCGAGCAAGAACAGCAAGGTATATCCGAATACGAGAAGCAGAGGCTATCGAGAATTGCAGAGAACAGAGCCAGAATGGAGGCTTTGGGTCTCACCAAAATTGCTTCTTCTTTGATGGGTTTGTGTCCCAATTCAAGTCGGCCTTCGAGTAAGATTAAAGGGAAACGCAAGGTCATCGATGACGATGAAGATTACAGGCTCAATGATGATGAGGATGACAAAGACGACTATGACGACGAAAATGATGATGATAACCTTGACGATGATGATTATGTGGAGTTTTCGGGTAGGAAAACGCCTCGGGCTCAGTCTCGTAAAAGCAAGGTAAAATGATTCACAGAAACAATTAGTTCCTAAAAGGGAAAATTTCCGAGACTTCTTCGGTGCTCCATTTTTTTTTTGTGTGAAATAAGATGATAAAGTTGATTGCTTTATTGTGTATAAGGGCTATACTTCTTGGCTCTTGCCTTACAGCTTGGCTTATGCTTCTTTGATTTTCTCTTTTTCCAGGTGAAATGTAAAGGCTCGAAACCTAAGAAGAAAGTTGATGTTAAAAAGCAATTGAATAGTTCGGATTATGTTGATAATGATGATGAATTAATGAAGGTCAGTTTACATGACTAATGTGTTTAGCAGAGTGTATCTTCCATTATCATAAACATCCGGTTTTATTGCAAGGCTAAACATTTTGGGAGTCATTTTCAGGCGATTGCTCTGTCCCTGAAAGATTCTGGAGAAGTTTTAGGTACTGTATCTACAGATGTGCAAGATGCTACTTCCACTGAAAGAAAGGGGAATGCTCGATCGAAGAGGAAAAAATCGGTTTGTTCGGTTCCATTTTAGTGTGGATTTCAAGGGTTGCACTATTTGCTTCCCCTTCCTCCCCATTTGTATTCACTTGGTTTCCCTTCATATGTGGATCACAGTTCACCAGTCGCACGCAGATGACCGAGGATGAAATGGTCGTGCACTTCTTTCAGTTCGATGGTAATTTCTGATGCTACTCTTTCTTATGAAGGTGCACAATGTCAACAAAGTAAGATTATTACTATAGAAAGCATAAAAACTATGAGCCATGTGGGGTTTTGCATTAGCAGTGCTCTTGCAGATCTGTTGGCGAGAAGAATCTCATTTAAGATACTACAAGCTGCTGTGCGTGTCTCATTTTGCTGATGAAAAGTAGTTCCTCAAATCATCAAGAATCTGTTCTATCTCAAGAATCTCATTTAACATTATCATTGCACCTCAGAAGAAATTGGGGTGGTTCACTTAGTAGGATTTTGGTCCGTTTACTTATATTGCATGTTTCCGCTCAGTCGAATTAGAATCAGAAACCTAATGCTGAACACATCCCATCTGTATAATACTAGTTTTACTTTGTTATTGGTATTCTCTCCATTCTTGAATATGTTTTTAGTCAATGATAAAAACCATTGTTGGCTATCAGAAGCTGGAAAAGGAAGCATTTCGACGAGAGATTTACGAAGCGTAGCTATCGCACATGATTTTATATGGACAGAAAAGGAGTTGACTGACATGATCCATTGCTTTGACACCGATGGCGATGGGAAGGTCAGTATATTCCTTTAGTTAGTAATATTTTTTTCCCAATATATAAACGACCTGTATGTTCAAAAATTCAATGAGCCATTCTTTGTTTGTAGTTCACCTTCTCTTGATATGTATAATGCGAATAAAAGAAAATTACAGAAGTAAAATTCATTCCTATGCTAGCCTATAAAAAAAATTCATTCCTATGCTAGCCTAGCCTAGCCAGAATTAATATATTTTTTATAGCATTAATCATCTCTTTCAGTGTTAGCATATACTTGGCATGACTAGCTGTTTAGATTCTGGTATTTTCATCCTAGAAGTTAACCCAGATGTTGGTCTTTCAACAATTTACTTGGCATGACTACTTTATTCTTGATGCATGACTTGAGAATGTATCTGAGTTTAAAGAATTTCTTACCTTTCTCACTGGTTGCGCTGCAGCTAAATCTTGATGATTTCCGGAAGATTGTCACCAGATGCAACATGTTACAAACATCTGAAAATCCGTAAACCGAATTCAAGCTTATATGGTTATAAGATGTACCTTTCTGAACATATTATAATCTTGTGATCAAGACTCAATACCCCTTTCTTTTTGTTCTGCAAGTCACTTGAAAATTCTATTTTCAAATACAATGTACAAGAGCTGTTTCTCACCCATCACACTGTTATTTGATAAGTACTCCATTCTACAATAGCTATACAACCCATCATACAGTATATATTTGTTTCTCCGTTTCAATTTTCTTTTCAGCAGCTACCAAGTGTGTTGAGGTGCAAAAGCTCAACTTGGAGGTCATGTTCTAAGGATGTACCCCAATTGAATCAGACATTTGAATTTCAAAATTTCACATTTAAATTTAATATATGTCCATTGACAACGTTACCGATTAAACCTGAATTTTTAAATTAAATAAATCACGGTACTAAATTATAAAAGTTCAAAATACAAGCACTAAGGCATCATTAAATCCATGTAAAACTGAATTTCAAATCGTTTGAAACATCCAAGCATACTTGCTTTTGGAATTCATATCAACTTTTGTATAAAGCCATTCACGTAACTGTAAACAACATTTCTTACATGCATGTAAAATGACTGCTTAATGATGTACAGCAAATGTCAAGCTATATGACTTTTATTTCAGCTTAAGATACCAGTGGCTACTAGTATCAAGCATCAGCAGAAGACTGCTGGCGACGAGCTCGAGCTGTAAAACCAGCAAACCAAGAAACCCTCATGAGTTGCACACCAAGAATCAGTACCCACCAACAGACCAAGTCCCTGATACTGTGCATCATCCATGCCGGTGCACTGAGCTCAACCCCAAGTTTCAATCCCCTCATTAGCTGCAGCACACGGTAAGCCTCGTACACAACTGGGGTCACCAACCAGACCGGTGACTCCCAATGTCATGTCAACATCTCGGTCAACATTTGTACTGCTAGAAGCAGAAGGGACCCAATAGAACTGCATATGGGATGAAAGGTAGCCGAGGCTGGAGGTAGCCCTTATGGGATCCAATATAACAGTATCATTAAGGGGATCGCGAGTCCAGTCAAAGTTGCAACCAAATTCCGGAACTGGTAACTCAAAGGAGGTTTGCTATTGGAAGCTTGTGTCATGTGACTTGGCACAATAATCTGCCATAAGGAGAAAAAGGGTGCAACCCAGATTGAAGATGAAATCAAGTCCAATCAAGGAAAGAAGGCTGACCACATTTGGGCCAATGAATATGGTGGATATTGGCAACCACAGAGTTGGTACCATGCCCGTGCCGAGGAGAAGAGAAGGCCCGAGCAGCACAATGGCCATTTAAGAAACTGAAGCTGTGCAACAGGCTGATTGGTCGTGTCTGTGAGATCTTTAGCTTTAGTCAATAAAGCCTCGTCATTGCTTTCAGGAGGCAGTGTTTCAAATAATTCAGATGATTTATCCAAGAAGTTTACACCAGATTTATCAGTTAGTGCGTATGTAACGGGTGAAGGTTCCTACTGAGGAAACTTGGTGCAGCAAACAGGGGGTCGTCTGAGGTGGATATGACGGAAGGGGAGCACATAAGGCACCTTTGAAGCTTTTAACAATAGTGAGCATTTGGAACGAACCTGAGGAATTTTAGTGATGAAGCTGGTAGAAGGAGCTTGAGCTAGAGAAGCCATTCCTAGGTTCATAAAAATTATCTTCAGCAACCTTGACAAGATGACACGGTTTTCATTTCTCTGAAAGATATTGCTTTGCTGAAATGGGGTAAAAATCCCACAAAACCAACACAAATGAACACTCTTGTAAAGTCGCCTCTAATCAAACACTGGTCTTCCTATGTTGAAATTTAGGGAGGTGGACAGGACAGGACAGGCAAAGGAATCAGAATCAGAACAGTTTGGATGTGAGGCCAGGCGTTGGTTTGTAATATAACACGGGCTACCCAGGCTCCACGCTTTTGTTTCGCTTTGAGTGGGGTTAGATTTTAGCAAGGTCCAAATTTACATGTTTTCAAAGTTCGAAGCCATTATGGACTTAGTTCAGAACCAGCAAACGTGACAAATATAAGGGTAAAATACACCTCCAGGTCATTCAATTATATGTTTAGTAACAAACAAGACACTTGTTTAAAAAAGTTACAAACATATCATTCAATTAAAAATCATTACAAGCATGACACACTTGAATATTGGATGAAATAGTGATGTGATCAAAAAGACATTGGAGTTCATTTATGTTCTGTGATCAGACGGTGGGGATTGGAGAGTTGAGTCCAGCAAATCGAGAGGCGGCAGAGAAAAATGTAGGTAAGCAGAGCTGCCCCTCCTAATATCTTGCACGCCGCCACTGTGTTCCTGAAAATCCCTTTCCCTGCTACCCTTACAGCTTCTCTTTGTTCTTTTACAATTTCTTATTCTCCTACATGTACCGGGAACACTTGAGGAATGGTATTTTCGCATTCGAAACGAGATTGGTCATGAAAAATGGTTGCTGCAAGACTTTCTGGATGAAAGCCGCCGCAACAGACCGCCAGTTCGCTTGTCCTATTCCTTCAAAATTGAAGAAAAGATTGTCATGCACTGATTACCTGTGTGATTGGTATTGCTGTAATTCACTGAGGGGACCATTGTTATAGCAATTACCATAATTATATATGTCCATTGGATGAAAAATGCACCAATATACATGCTATAGCAATTACCATAATTATATGTGTCCATTGGTCTATGATACAAAAAATATCATACTAAGCTTCCAGTAATTAAACTTATGCCGGATGATAAAGTATTCCCCTTGTTGCATGAAAAGACATTAACCTTGTCAATCTCATTGTTCAACAAGTGCACAAATTCAGCGCCAGCATCCGCCTTTCTATACTCGAGAGACTCCGCCGAAGAAATCAGTCCAACGAGCTTTCTCAACTCTAATTAGTAAGACAAGTACTTGCTCCGCCAAGCCGGTAACGTTTCCTCAATTTGCTGCTTTAATCTCTTCGTGAACTTCATACTCAAAGAGACACCCGAAAATCGAATGAAGATAGAGAGTCGAGAATTGTTAAAAGAGATGATAATGGAGGAGGAGAATGAGTGGATGGTTTTAAAAGTAAAAGAGTAATAGAATATCGAAGGGCATATGCTTGGCGTGATGATGTGAAGAGTTCGAAAAGGTATAATAAGAGTCGTCGAGGTGAGAGAATTCCTAAACATAATCGTTGGTCATTGTATTAAGTCATTCATGCGAAAACACCCTTAGATCAAGGCTCAATGGCAATGCTTTATGAGAGATGAACTTGTAGGGTTAGTTGCCTTAAAAAACTACAAAACTGTAAGGTTGTTTCTACAGGCGCAAGCATTTAGCGCCAATAAAGGTGGAAAATTATTAAGGATAAATGAAACGGGTTCTCCTAGGATTCCGGGCATTGGTGGGGGCTATGACGAAAATGAGTGAAAGGTAGCGTAGGCAATGAGAATAGGAGATGATTCTAGGATAAGGGTTCCTTAGAATATGCCTGTTATTATCATAAATATACATTTAAAAAGAGTTCGCTTTAAAGGTATTTCAAGAGCGTACTTAAGCCGAAAATAATTATTAAGGGTTTTAGATTAGATGAAAAAACTTGATTATTTTAGTACCTCCAAACTAATAAAAAAGCTTGCCTTCAAAACCAATATGCAAACCAAGAGTCCGTTTGCGATCACAAAACCGCAACAAGAAAGAGGAAGTGCTGAATATGGGTCACTCCCGTCATAAAACGCCCATGCCAACATTTCTACTAAACTGGCAGACCTCACAACCACCAAACAAGACTCCGTTTTCAGACCAGCTAATTCTTGGCCTTGTTTGTCGATCTCTAGTTTACATAGATGTTGCCACCAGTCAGTCTCGACTGACAACACAACTTGCACAAGTCCCCGTCTCATTGTTAATGCCAATAGCCAATTCTATGAGGCTCTTGCATCACTTCTACTTGCGCTCTGCGTAATTTTCTGTGAGGGTCATTATTCACTACTGGTGACCAGTCTCGTAAAGGTGGCTTCACCATGTCAAGGTCCATACGTTTGAAGATTCATTTCATGAAGAAAATAGGCTGCCAGACTGAGTGAGTACTGTTATGACTTAGGGTTGTTGTAGAGAAAATGAAAGATTTCATAAAGAAAGAAAGACGTATACATAAAACGTGTAATTTCATTCATGATGATTTCCTTAGATTTCATGTACAACTTATATATTCACAAGTACCTACAGCTGTAATTCTACCAGCAAATCTAACAAACTAACTACTCATTTGCTGATTCACAGGATATCTCCAAGTGGGCTACACGTGTTGACCTGTTTCTCCTCAACTTCATTCTGTTCTGGATCATTACTTGACTGGGCCCATTTGGCTAAAGGTTTAATGATATCAGCCTGCTTCCTGCAGTCCACCCAACCCCATTCCTTATGTTTTCTCAACCCTAAATCCCTCAAGTAATATCTCAATCCCTAATTCCCTTTCATTTTCCAATTTCAACCGTTTTTTCCTAAATTGCCTTCCCCGAGTAATCCCTAATTCCTTCTAATCAAACCCTAATATCCCTTCCATCATAACAATACCCCCTCCACCAAATGATCCTTGTCCCCAAGGATCGAAATCAGGAAACTGATTCTTCAGCACCGTGTAATCTTCCCAAGTGGCATCATCTGGCCCCATATTTGTCCATTGTATAAAGAACTGCATGGCCCGCTGATTTTGTCTGTGAATCTTTCGTGAATTCAAGAAGACGACTGGTTAAATCTTCAATTGCCCATCAAAAGACGTTTCTGGAGGATTCAGCAAGATAAGTCCTTGTTTTCCTATTTTTTTTCTTCAATAAACTAACATGAAACACTGGATGCAATTTTGAATCTGGTGGCAATTCCAGTCGATATGCAAAATGACCAATTTTTTTCTGTATTTTGTAGGATCGAAATATCGAGCAGCAAGCTTCAGGTTTCTCCTTAGAGCGAGTGATGTCTGTCTGTAAGGCTGTAATTTTAGGTAAACTTCTTCTCCCACCTGAAAATCCCTTTTTGTACGATGCTTATCAATAATCTGCTTCATTCTATTACTGGCTTGCATGAGTTGTTCACGTAATAAAGCATTGAATTGCTCTTTGTCTTGCATCATAGTTTGAACTGCATCCACTCTAGAATCCCCTGATCAGCTTAACATAGGAGCCTTATAACCATATAAGGCCTCAAATGGGGTCATTTTTATAATAGAGTGGTAATTAGTGTTATACCACCACTCTGCTTGGGCTAACCACTTAGACCAAGATTTAAGTTTTAAAAACACATACTTCTGAGATACTGTTCTAAACATTGGTTGAGTCTCTCAGTTGCCCATCTGTCTCTGGATGGTAGGCAGTACTGAAAAGTGTAGTTGTCCCCAATTACTTAATTAACTCCTGCCAGAATATACTAGTAAAATACTTGTCTCTATCAGAAATAGCTACCTTAGGAGGACCATGAAGCTTATAAACCTGGTCCAAATATATCTTAGCCACTTGCACCACTTGCACCACTGTGTAGGGATGTGACAGTGGCATAAAATCAACATACTTAGTAAATTTATCAATCACTACCAGAATACAGTTTTGCTTTGCTGAAGGTGGCAACCCTTCAATAAAGTCCATTGTTATAACCTCCCAAGCATTGTGTGGAATTGGAATAGGTTGTAGTAGCCATGGCTTGGAAATATGCTCACTTTTAGTTCTTTGGCATACCTCACATTATTGTATATGTTCCTAAATCATAAGCTTCATCTTTGGCCAAAAAAAATAAGCTTTAATCCTCTGATAAGTAGCTTGAATGCCTGAATGACCCCCTTGTGGTGAATCATGGGAAGCCACAATAATTTTCTGCCTGAGATCTCCCTTGCTGCCCACATAAATTCTGTCTTTAAAGTATAGCACTCCTTTCCTTCTCTTCTACTCCTTACTCTTGTCAGGGTGAATAATTAAAATATGAAGTTTCTCTTGAGCTAATAAGCTCATTCATAACTCTGCTCAATATCTTGCATCCAAGTAAGAATAATAACAGTAACCCCCATTTGCAGAAACTCACTAGAATCCATTTGCTGTCTAGAAAGTGCATTTGTCACCTTGTTTGTTTTGCCTTTCCTAAACTGGATTGTATAATCCAACCCCAATAACTTAGTAAGACCTTTCTTCTGAATAGTGGTGTTTAACTTTTGCTCTAATAAGTGTTTTAGAGGCTCATGATATGTTTTAATGACAAATGAACCACTCTCCAAATAATGTCTCCAGTGTGATACTGCCATTAGGATAACCAAGTATTCTTTTTCATAGATAGAAAGGTCAGCATGCTTTGGCCCCAAAGCCTTACTTAAATAAGCTATAGGCGCATTCCTCCTTGAGACAAAACAACCCCAATTCCTTTGGAACTAGCATCAGTTTCCAAAAAAAAAATCTGGTCAAAATTAGGTAAAGCCAAAACTGGAGCTTCACACATAACCCTTTTTAATTTTTCAAATGCTAATTTAGCTTCTGTAGACCAATGAAATCCATCCTTCTTCAACATATTGGTCAAGGGTTTACTCAATTCTCCATACCCTTTGATAAATTTTCTATAATACCCTGTCAAACCCAAAAATCCTCTCACAGCTTTCAGATTTTTAGGTAAAGGCCACTGTTGCATGGCCTTTATTTTTTCAGGATCAGTTGCTACCCCTTTAGCTAAAATTAAATATCCCAAATACTCTACTTGTTGGCCAAAAAAGCATTTACTCTTCTTGGCATACAACTTCTTTTTCAACAGAATTTCCAGCACCACTCTTAAATGTTTTTTATGTTCTGCCATACTAGGACTGTAAATCAAAATATCACCAAAAAAAACACAAGAACAAACCTCCTCAAATATGTTGCAAACAAGTCATTCATCAAAGCTTGAAAAGTAGTTGGGCCATTAATAAGGCCAAAAGGCATAACTTTAAATTTATAATGCCCTTGATGAGTTCTAAAAGCAGTTTTATAAACATCCTCATCTTTAATTCTAATTTGCCAATAATCAGATCTCAAATCAATCTTGGAAAAGAAAGTAGCTCCATGTAATTCATCTAATAAGTCTTCTACTATAGGAATAGGGAATTTATTCTTAACTGTATAAAAGTTAAGTTGCCTATAGTCCACACAAAACCTCCAAGTTCCATCATTTTTTCTAATAAGTAAACAAGGAGAAGCAAAATGACTCTTACTTACTTGTATGATAGATGAGGATAACATATAAGTAATCTGTTTTTCCACTTCAGTCTTGTGATGATGAGCAAATCTATAGGGTCTGAGATTGACTGATGTGTCCCCTGTTTAAGAACAATAGCATGATCATGTTTTCTGCTAGGAGGCATCCCCTCAGGTTCCTCAAACACTTCCTTAAACTCCTCTAATAAATCTTGTAAAGATAGAGGAATTATGCTTTCATCCACTTCAGCATTCAACAAATAAATTTCTCCATTCACTTTAGTATCTTTTGCAACTAACTTCTGAAATTTTTCTCCTGAAATTGGTTTGAGTAGTGGTAATTTCTGAGTCCCTCTAATTAGAACAATCTATCCATCCTTTTCAAAGCTAATTGTTTTGGCCTTAAAATACATCATTATAGGGCTAAACTCTTTCATCCAATCCACCCCCGGTACCATATCACTGCCCCCTAAAGACAACTCTGAAATCATACTGAAATTCATAGCCTTGCATCTTCCAAGTCACCTTATTGCTTCTGGCAGTACTGAACAATTTTTCTCCATTAGCAACTTTAATAACTAATGGTCGAGTTTGAACTAGTTCTACTCCTTCTTTGGCCCACTTAGGTGCCACAAAACTTTGGGTGTTGCCACTATCAATCAGCACATTAAGTGGTTTCCTTCTAATAAAACCTTGAATTCGTAAGGTAGTGTGCCTTACATTCCCTGTGATAGCATTTATAGAAATTTCCAAGGCTCCGTTGGTTACATCATTCCCTTGTCCAATTTCTTCTTCTGTCAATTCCTGATTAGCAGTCTTCTTCTTCCATATTGTTCAACTGTCAAACTTTGCACTGATGTCCAGGAGCAAATTTTTCCCCACATTTAAAACATAAATTATTTGTTCTTCTATATTCCAATAAACTCTCCTTGGTATTAGTATTATGAGGAATTGTCTTAGGCTGAAAACCCTTAATCCCACTGTTTGGTTGCCTAATTGCAAGAGTATAAGGGGAAAAAATTTGAGAAAATTTAGACTTCTTTCCTTCTATCTCATTAGCCAACTCATAAAGTTTGGCTTGTCTGTAAGCTTCAGACAAATTTCTGGGCTCCAACTCTTTCACCTTGTATTTTAATTCCTCCTTGAGGCCACTAATAAAACTGGAAACAAAATAATCCTCCCCTAAATGCATATGATGTTGTAGTAAATATGGTCTTAACTCCTCAAACTTTTCTTGATACTCATCTACACTACCCTTCTGCATTAACTTATTAAACTCTTCAATGATATATGAATAGTTTCTGTCACAAAATCTATGACACTAATCAACCTCAAATTCATGCCAAGTCACTCTATGCTTCTGCATAATATAGCCATCAAACCAAGTCTCAGCCTTTTCCATTAAGTACATTACAGCCACATCCAGTTTTTGTTCCTCAGGAACTCCCAAGAGATTAAAATATTTTTGGCATTTTCTAACCCATCCTCTAGGATTACTTCCATCAAACATCTGCAACTCTAATTTAGGACGAGGTAAAATAGGCCCTGAACTCCCAAACAACCCTTTACTGTCCACTTTAACCTCACTAGAACTGCCCCTAACATTCTCTTCCTGCAATGTCTGATTCAAATGTAGAGTACTAGTAAACCCCACAGATTTAAAAGCTAATATTCCTGGTTCATTAGGTTGAAAAGTATAATTCTCATGCTCACTAAGAACTGTAATCAGACATGATTGTTTACTTCTATTTTTGTTATGTTGTTCAACTATTGTTGGTTGACTCTTCACTGACTGAGGTGAATCTTTCTCCTCAACTGCTTGATTGACCAACTGTAAGATCCTCTGCAAATACCCTCTGTTTTTAGTCATTCCATCTTCTAAGGTTTGTATCCTCCCTTCTAGCTCTGCTTTCTGCCCCGCCCACCAAGATAATAAGGTTTCCTCTTTAACCTCCACTGTTGATTGTTCTGTTACTTCTATGGTTCCAACTTTTTTCATTTTTCTTGTCTTTCCCAGTATGAAAAATGATTTTTGGATCACTAAACTCAGCTCTGATTATCAATTGTTATGACTTAGGGTTGTTGTAGAGAAAATGAAAGATTTCATAAAGAAAAAAGATACAGAAAAACGTGTAATTTCATTCATGATTATTTCTTTAGATTTCAGCTACAACTTATATATTCACAAGTACCTATAGCTGTAATTCTGTCAACAAATCTAACAAACTAACTACTCATTTGCTGATTCATAGGATATCTCCAAGTGGGCTACACGTGCTGGCCTGTTTCTCCTCAACTTCATTCTGTTTTGGATCATTACTTGACTGGGCCCATTTGGCTAAAGGTTTAATGATATCAGCATGCTCCTGCAATCCACCCAACCCCATTTTTTATGTTACCTCAACCCTAAATCCCTCAGGTAACATCTCAATCCCTAATTCTCTTTCATTTTCCAATTTCATCCATTTTTTCCCAAAATGCCTTCCTCGAGTAATCCTCAATTCCTTCTGATCAAACCCTAATCTCCCTTCCATCATAACAAGTACCTTCGTACAAATAATGGCATCTGATAGAATGAACAATGTTTTGTTCAGTTGGCATGACAGAGTTCATATGCTAACTGTGGCCAATGGCACCACAATCAGCTCAGCTCCAAACTAACTATTTAACACAACATTCCATTTTGGCATCCTGAAATACAAAATCCAAAATAACTCAAGTACCCCAAATAATACAATAAAGCGATAACAAATTTAATAAAAAACATATGCAGTGTCACACAAGTTATTCTTTATCATCTAAAGAGACAAATTTCCGTGATAGATTCAAATCACCAAACATAAAAATAGAAATCCTGATCAAAGGAAGAAACAAGATAGCATTTGCTAATGCAATATTTCACGTTGAAAAAGGCAGCCTAATTGCCCAAATCCAAATAGTAAATACACTCCCCGCAAGCAATCACCCTTGCTCACTCAAAGAAATGCATCAAAGGTTGAAGAAGTATGCACACAGATTTAACACTAAATTAATAGTAGAAGGCAGCGAGGTAAATACTAAGTTCCTTAATTGAACTTAGAGTTGCCCCCAAGACCATAAAATTCAAAATTGATTGCATGATGTACCATCAGAATTTCACCATTTTTTATTGTAAAAGATCTACAAAATAATAGTGCCTACTTACATATTCACCCTTTCAGTTTTACTTCGAACCATAAAGTAGCACAATCAATTTTGAACTAAACTGGAGCATCATTTACTTGGAATGATCAATTGCAAGATTGGCTGTGCATCACACCAAAAGTTGATTGAGGCTATAATATCTGGCCACAAACATCAAAAATTGCTTGAAGAATCTAGAATTTAGAAGTTACAAATAATTAATGCAAAGGAAAAAATTAGAAATCAAAATAAATATCTCAATGAAACACTTCCATACCGGGTTGGCATAATAGAAAAATGATCAACATGGAGCACATTCCAAAGGGAGTTTCAGTAAATAATCAAGACCCAATGCTCCCATTGTGGTGAGGACTTCAGCTTTATATCAATAATGTCACCATAAGAATATTTCTAACAATCCTAAATTAAATCTTTCTAACTAAGCAATAATATCATGGGAAAAATGAATACCTTTAGTGAAGATTCCTAAAACTAAGCCACTATGATAAAGCGATACTTGGGATGATTTTTTGAAGCAATATACATGGTGGGTTACAAGATGAATCGGTGTTACTTGATAGGCAGCTAAGCTCATCCTCCAAAATAGAATAGGCTTCTGAAAATGCCTGCATTACAAAATATTATTTATACAAGACATGAGGAGAAATGTCAGTGATCACATAAATGCATATTCCAATAAGCACATTCACAGTTACTACATCCTATACTCAAAAAAAGTTGCATATTAAGATTAAGCTCACAGAGATAGGGCTTAGCCATGTACAATAGTTTATATTAATATTTTGTATCTTACACATCCCAGAGTAGTAAGCTAAGCTTTTACTTGCTAAATGTGTCGAATATCTTCCCAAAAACTCTCTTGGAAGTTTTACTAGTAGTTTCTAAAAGGCAATTAAGTGCCTTAATCGCAAAGATAACCACAAGGCAATCCACTGATTCTTTGTTACCAAGCAGGGTAAATAAGTATAATTTGCCTTTCTCCGCCTTCAAAGAAACATTTAATTAATAAAATCCTGGAAAGAAACAATCCAACATTATGAACAGTGTGTCAACACTTGGAAGCTAAAGCAAAGTTATACGGCAGCATGTCAATAGTAAATATAAAGATACCCTATCATGCCACAGAAGTTCCATGTCGACAGCTAATAAAAAAAACACCAACCTTGATACACTGATGTATCCGGAAGCAATTTCTCCCCACATTATTTGTTGGGAAAAGAGGATCATCGATGTGTATAGGATCAATGCTATAACAGAAAAATCATATCAGGGGTCAAAAGGTTAAGATGTCAAGAAGCAACCATGTTATACATAGTTCCCAACAAAAGAGAACATTGCTATTACCTATGACCCCTTTCTCTGGTTATATATACTCCACTCCCCTGTACAGAAATACGCATTTGCCGGGGATCAAACACGTTCCTGTGCCATCAGATATTGAAAAAATAAATCATTAATTTGTATAAACATTTTACAATGAACACCAGTCAGGTAACTGTTTTTTTTTTTTTTGATAGGAATAGGTGGCCTCATTAAAAACCTCCCTCTTAGAGGTCCTTAACCATAAGGTAAGAACCAACTAACGGAAGGAGGAAAAGAGTAGGTAACTGTTTTCAACTACCAGAAATAAAATTATTTAAATCTTTTGACTCACCCAAAGAAGTAAAGAAAATCCATCAGAAGGCTTCCGAAGTTCTACAAGGAAAATTGAATTCAAGTTATCAAAAATACTTGTCATTTCGGTCAGCACCAAAAAGCAGATAAACAAACTGAAAGTTAAAAGAGAACATTAAAAATTTTCATATCATCAAATATCAAAGATCAATATTCTCCTTGTAAAATCAAAAACCATACTTCAATTCACTAATCAATTATCTAAACTTGCAACAGGGTCTTTCAGTTCAACCCCCGAAGCTTTGTTCCTCAAATTGATGGCAATTTTATATAAATAAATATACTGGTCAAGCATTGGCATACTTTAAGCTCTCAAATTAAACATTCATCAAGTGCAATTACTTTTTCAGCTCCCACCTCCAGATCAATCCACTTTAAAACAGTTCTAAGGTTGTATCAGATGATTATCATTCAATATATAATTGTGGAATCAAGTAACAGTTCACTCCAGCACACCGAAATACGTACTAAAAATACCACCAGTGATGAAAAGAAAAATTATAAAAACTTAAAGTGCTAAGTTACTTGGTTGATAGGCCGTCCAAGGTGATGCTCATGCTGTAGGAAACGTATAATAAGTAACACCTACAAGATGTAGGAAACAGGAAGGGAGTAAATATAAACAGAAAAATGTCAACTATAAATTAGTTAGAAATGATGTCTCAGTGCACTTCTACAACCAAAGGTTACTCACCAGACAATATGAACTTAAGCCACCAGAGTAAGACTGATCCAGGCTACGATCTGCTAAGAACAGTTTTAGTACCAAAGCAAGAGGTGTAGCAGCTGGAAATTGCTCAGTCAGCTCCTTCACCTGCAAAGAAATACTTCAAATGTATCAATAATAACAAAACAGTAACAGTGCAAAACACCCAAATGTGTATGTAGCAGCACTGTGAAATTGTCTGTTGAGACTCTGAATCACAGGAAATGCCCAAAAAACAAATCTAGAGAGAAGAGGAACGAATACCCTACATGCCTAGAAACATTTGTCTATTTCCTACATAAACCATACACTAAAACTTTCAGAACCATAGTAGGAAAATATCAGACTAAAAACCTGCAAAAACTCATAACGTCATTGATGGTTACTTGATAATATAATTCTGAAATCCAACAAGAACAAATATAATCCTCCGAGCCGGTAACATCCTCAATCAGGCAAAACTAAAACAAATATTCTCCTAAAATTTCCAGGAAAATGGATACAATTAGCAGTAGAAGCATATGTCATGGGTTCGTATTTCAGACACAATCCAAGCGATCAGTGTTTATTGGTTAAGTTATATTCATTTTACCAGTTCAGTATTTTGGAGTCCTGTATGTGAGGACGTCTTGAAACTGATGTCTAGACGAACTGATTTGACGCCCTTCATATTACCATCACCTATTTGCGAGCACTTAGGTGAAGCAGAGTCTTCTAAGGCAACAGTATCTGAACGAGTATGGTCACCATGTTCAGCAGTTTTATCTATTTGTTCATCTGTGGGTGATTGCACATTAGAGCCCACAGAAGTTATTAAGTCATCAGGAACTTCTACCACAAGCATAATAATCGGAATCTGGATGGCAGAAAGACAGCACTATGAGAAAAGAGATGGAAAGAAAGTACATAAAACTGAAGACAGATCCAACAAGGCAAGTGCATTAGGCATTACAGCTGTATTTTCCACAGTCTTCAGAGAATCATTCTTTACCCACTCTTGATTGGCAAGATACCGGGCAGCATGCTGGAGAATAAATATAAAAGTGTCAACCTTCCAAAGTGTTGCGTAAAAATATCAGGAAGAATAAAAAACATAATAAAATAACAGGAAGATAGTACTATACAACAAATCAACAATTCATATATCATTGTTTACAACTTGGTAAGCATACCACATTTATCGTAGCAGATGATTCAATGTTTTTACTCAGAAAATGAAGAAAGAGAATAACAAATATTTAAGATTTTCATAACACAACATTTGCCAGATATTTTGATTTCTATGTAATTGTAAAGGAATTCTGACTAAGTTGAGATATCGTGAAGATGAAACAGAAAATTCATCCTAAAGTTCAACCAACTACAATTACTCGTACCTGAAGACAAGTTTCTTTAATACCATTACGTCCTTCCAAGATCCCAGCTTCTTTGATAGGTTCCTAAAAGTGTCTGCAGTTGAGTTTCTTGCCAAAGAGTATAAGCACGTGATTAAAAGAAAAATACAAAGCTGAAGCACTCACCAGATTCCTCACTGGAGGAAGACAAACAACAAGGTCCACATCACTTGATGGAAGAGCTAATCCAGTTGCATTTGAACCAAAGACATTCGTCCTTGATCTTGGCCATAGGACTTGAAGAGACCTCGTAACCCGCTTAACAGCCCAAGTAATGTATGGCTTACGAGCCATATTCTCAGCTGCAACCTTTTACATGATCAACATCCAGTCAGTATCATTGCAAAGCCTGGAAATGAAAGAACAAAGAACAGAAAACTAGAAAATTCTTGCAAAAAATAAAATATTCAAGATCAAAGAAACAATAAACAGGAAGAAAATTGGATCAGTCATATGCTTTTTTCCTATTCATTTTCTAGGGATCATTAAACTGCTTACCTGCTTCCAGAAAGAGTCAATTTCATCATTAAGGAACCTGTGAATTGAAGAGAGAGATGCCTTTCGTGCTGGACAGCTCTGTAACTCAGGTGGTTGTAGAGGAAATGATACATCTGGCTGCAGAATAAAAACAAAATTCCATGAATTAAACACATAAACCACAACTTTTAGAATAACATAATGCCGGTGCTATACTTACATGTTCTTGATCACGAGCAAGTTGTGACATTGCAATCAAATGATCTTGCAGCAAAGCACCAGGAAGAGGATGGATCATTGGATGGGCTGAAAGATTCTTACTTCTCCAAGATGGCCAAACAACTTCAGTACCATCCATGCGAACACATGCATCTTCCGAGTTAGTTCCATCATAGAACAGACCTCTCATACCCCAATGTCTTGGGCTAGAGCTACCAGATCTCACTGTTGGAAAACCCCTGAGTTTCCTTGAATCGCTCACAGGAGAAGGTGGTGGTGGACATGGAGCTCGTGGAACACAAAGCACCACTGGTGAGGGGGGCCGTCTTATCCGAGGTTGCTCACGCCTATTTGGTGCAACACGTGGGCTTTTATGATCATGACCACGCTTAAAGTCTGATTTTATTTTCTCCCTTGGCATGCTCGGAATAATTATTGGACGCAAAATAGGGTAAGGGAGCGAATCAGCTGTTTTCCCTTCAAAGTCATTGGATAAATTGGCCAAAGATCCAGAAGCTTCCACCTCAGTTGCTCCATCCGGCGTTGCTGATGCAGAATGCAGCACTTTGCTAGACACTTCATTTCCTGGCACAACATAACTAACTGTCTGGTGTCCAGGACCCAAAGGGTCAAAAGGCGAACAAAATGGAGTAGCAGTTGGAGAAGTCAAACCATTAGTACTATAAGATGAAGAGAAAGCAACCATGTCGTCAACAGCCCTACTCATGTCTGCTTCACGCCAGGCCCATGAGCTATCATCGGAGCTAAGGGAAGGAGGCCTAGAGAAACCTGTACCTGGAAGATCAGAAGTATTCCAGTACATCACACCCCCACCAAAATATTGATTATAGTCCATACCAGAAACAGCATGCACCTCATATTCTTCCTCTGATATATAGTGGCTCTCATATTCATCAGCTATTTCAGGCGTATTTGCAGGATCTGGCAAGTCAACGAATTCCCCAGAATACTTTCTATCATCCTCAATCATATTAAACTGAAAATTTTGAGAAGCAAAACTCTGTTGAAAAGCTGTATGTCGCCTAGATATAAATCCAGAGTCATAATTGCATGTAAGTGAAGGAGCCAATCCAGAAGCACTTCGAACCATAGGGGGCCAATCTAAACTCATTGGCATTGGACGAGCAAAGATTCGATTGCAGCCACTTTCAATAGAAGGATTTCTTGTCTGATGCATGGTGGGCAAAAAAGGTTGGCGAATGTGATTGTGCCAATTGTGACCAACATCAAGGTGCAGTCTATCAGTGGCTGCTAGGACATGTGAATTTATAGACGGAAAATAAAATGGAGCTACACTAGGCCACTCATATGAGAGGCATTGTGGCGAGGGTGCAGTATTATAAAACTTTTTTTCTTTAACCTGAATCACAGGAACCACCTCTTTAATGTCAATCGTATTCAGTGATACATCAGAAGAAATAGCAATTTTCTGAATTTTACTTGCACTAAGAGATCTTGGTTCATTGATGCCTTCTCCAATGAGAACACAGCCAGGCTTTGGGGCAATAGGTGGCAAAACATTACATTCTCGTTTACATTTTGAATCCACTTCTCTGGTAGGAATGATTTCATTCACAATAATATCTTCCGAGTACTGCTGATACCCTGTACCTATATGAGAGAAACCATTCGATGAACCAACCTCATGATCTTGCACATGCATGGCAATATCCTCCCTGAAAAGTTGCTTATCTGGTCCACTAATACTTGAAATTGGTTCAAGATTGTTGCTATGACTTATTGCATCAGTTAGAACATTCTGTCCTATACTTAATTCGTCCAATACCTCATTGGAATTTGTTGCCTCATCTTGAGAAATAAAAGATGATGAAGGCCCTGTGACTGCCTTCTTGAAAGATTTTACTTCAGTTTTATCATTGATGCAAGAACGTTTGCTTTTATTCTTTTCCTTACGGCTCTTCCTTGATGCAGCTCGTCCTTTTCCAACAACTGGTTGGGTATGTACCTGAAGACAAGAGTAGCAGTTATGGCAGTATTTAAAACTTAAATAATTAACAATACCATCCAAATGAAAAACTGTGTGAGCATTTCCATGGATAACAGAGTCTTTCTGTTTACATCTTTATCATGAGGTATATCACTCATCTTGGTGGACTCCGTCAAATCTGCTTTCTTATTATGAGTCAATTCGTACGCAAGATCCTGACATAATACTATAAACCATTAATACAATTTCCCAAAACATTTAAATGAAAGCAAAATCCCATCTAAATTCTAAAGGACTTTCAATAAAGGAAAAAAGTTCCTATAAAAAAAATAAAGGAAAAAAGTACCTTAACAGGTTTTTCTGGTGGAAGGTCATCTACCTCTCTCTTTGGAGCAGGATTTTGGTTTTTTGTGTTTCGAGACTTCCCTTTTTTCTTACGACTAGATGCACTGAGCCTACCCTTGGATTTATCGGACGAAGAGTTAAAATTTCCCTCTCCGAGAAGTTCAAGCTTTGTGCAATCCAGTGAAATAACCATGAGAAATCCTCGCAGTTTTCTGAATATACTATCAATGATGGAACTTACAGAGCCTAATCTGCTAAAAAACACCTTTTCCGCATCACAATGGCGATGACAAGATAGGACGACAGTAACAATATCCTGAAGCACAAACAAGCTACTGAAGACATTGGTTAGGGTAGTAGGCTTTCCAGAACGAGAATTTGCAGTAATAGTAACGCCAAATTCTGCATCCTCCAGGGGATTTAGGGTGGTTCCAAACAGTTTTTCACCATAATTGGTATACCTCAAAGGTCGCTCCACTGTTCCTGCATTAAAAAGCCACATCTCATCCTCTGAGGCACTACCTGCTGCCTTCAGTACCTCGAAAATCTGAATGCCAAAAATTTAAAATGTTTAGCCACAAATGTTACACTAAATTAAACAGACAACATTTTTCAAAACTACAAGTCATCCATATTTAGGAAATCTTTCTCTAAACATAGCATACGCATTGTAATATAGTATATCAAACTTAAGAAAGATCCAACCATAAGTTATTGGAGCAATATAAAGGTACGAGCTAAGGCACTCACAATGTGCTCATATATTAATTTACCCTAAACCAGACCAACATGTTTAAATTTCTCTCCATAAACAACAAAAATTAATGTAGAGCTCAATAGAAACAGTATTTTTCAACCATTAACAATAATGGCAATGCCATAGGATAAACCCCGTCATTAACATGGAGTAATAAAGTTTTAAATAATACCAGAGATTTAGCAGCTTTCCCGAAAACCGTATTAAATACTTTCTTCCTCATTGCATCACCCAAATTGACCCACCAATCCAAGCATCCTTTCTTTCTCCAATACACATTTACAGCTACCCCTGCAGCTTTCATCTTCTCTTTCAACTTCACCCCTCTTCTCTTCCCACTATTACAATTCAGCCACGCCAATCTCAACGCCACCTCTAATCTATTTACAACAAAAGCCTCGATACTGTAATACCCTTTTGATTTTAACCACTCTAGCTCAGTCCAATCCGACACCAATTCGCTCTCTTCCCCTCTCAGAAACGCACCGTTTGATACTCCATCCATGGTCTCAACAAACCGTTCCACATTTTCAACCAACTCTTCGGCCACCGTCATGGAATCGAGACTATTCACCGAACACGAACACTCGTCGATTTTCTCACCTTCTCTGGATCCGAACAACCGAATCGACTCAAAAACTCGTAGTTCCGACTCATCGGACTGGGCAACCCTAGAGAGGAGACCACGTGACTGTTTATAACAGAGGCCCGGGAGGAAGGGAGGATCGCGCGAGGGAAGATCAGGAAGGATAATGAAGTAGCCGTGGCCACGCGCACGAAGCTTGCCGAGCATTTGGATGAGGAGCTGGGTGAACGTGAAATCGACGGTCGTGAGGTGACCTAGGCGCTGATGGACGGTGAGAGACGAGAACCATTTGAGGATTGAAGACCTTTGATTGGTGTTAGGTTTAGGGTTGGGATCGTGGGAGAGGGAATGGTAGAGCGAGATGTGGGAAGTGAGTGAGTCCATGACTTGGTTCTGAGCCATGAACGATTTGGTCAGAGATTTGGGAGGGAAACTAGGGTTTGATTGGGACATTATTTGCTGCCTTTTTATTATTATTATTTTCAGTTTTTTTTTCCTCTCTTACAAAGCAGAAAGATTGAGCTTCACAAGAAGAAGGTAAAAGAAAGAGAGAAAGAGGCGGATACGAAGGTTAAAAGCACTGCAAAATACACTACGTAATAAATAAAATATTATTTAAATAATTAAGCATTGGTATAAAAATTATTTCATATGTTACTGAAAATTACAACTTAATATAATAAGTGTTTGGGTAAATTATGTGTTAAGTATTTTAAATATCAGTTTTAATTCGTTTTAATATCTAAAATTTTAATTTTTTAGAAATCATACATAACACTTAATTTTTATTTTATTTTAGTATTCACAATTAAAAACTTAATGAATGATTTGTGCGTGACACTTTTTATGAGTAAATTGCATAATTCATTACTCAATTATCTTCTCTCTGTTATTTTAATCACTCAAATTTAGATTTTTTTTAATTTAATTACTTAACTTCCAAATTACTCCTAATTTAATCACTTAACTTTTAAATTACTCTTAATTTAATCATTCTAACTTTCAAATTTATTTTTTATTTTGAATTATATATTAATAAAATAATAATAAAAATATCATGTCACAAAAATTATTAATAAATAAATTAGAGCGATTTGAAAGTTGAGTAGTTAAATTGAAAATTTTTAAACTTTAGTGCCAAAATAGGAGCGAGAAGATAATAGAGTGATGAATGATGTAACTTACCCATAAAAATACAGTCGTTAAATTTTAAACAATGAGGTACTAAAATGAAACAAAAACTAAACGTTAGGTGTGTTATTGAAAAAACTGAAAGTTTATATATTAAAATAGACCAAACTGATAGTTTAGCTACTAAGGTTTAATTTACCCTAATTGTTATTTCATATTTACTAAATTTTAAATTTTAATTTGCAAAAATAAATAAAAATTAGTTTAGATACTTAATAATAGTCTAGTTTTGTCAATGTACACTAAGTTTGGTGGGTGAGTCTTCCGGCAGGGATTTTTTACATACACTAAGCAATATCAAAACTGTTTACCACTTGAACCAAACCATGTTGGTAATAAAATTTTAATATTAATTGTATTAAAATTAAAATTAAAGTTGATTGTTTGTTATTAAATACATTTAATTGAATTAAAATTAAAATTATATCCTTGCAATTGCCTCATATTAAAGTTAATGTTCAAGCCTTGAAAACACATTGGTAGGAATGACGGCCACAAGTTTTAAACAAAGACCATAAAATTTAGACATGAAGTATACAAAACAAGATTCCTTTATCAAATTGCATATTGAAACAAATATATATATAGGAATGAACAATAACAACACTAATAATATACTAAATAAATATAATCTTTTTGTAAGGATCCAATTTAATTTAACATATGAATACACATATAAACATTATACACCAAGGGCTCTTCGAAAATTAGTTCTTGGGCTCCAAGTATTATGTGATTGAATCACAAAACTTGAGGGTCAGAGCAAACATTAGTAGTTGAAACAATCCCAACCTGCAGCCATGGAAGTGAACTTCCACTCATATTGATGTCCTTTAGTTCACTTAGTTTTGCTAACATTATCGTACTGCCAGTTTTGTCTTCTTCATCTTGCTTAGAAGTATTACAGATATTGTTCTTAATCGCATCATTGCTGTTATTATTTTCAACTTGCAGTTGCTGTAGATTATCTTCCTTTTCTTTGCCAATCCTAGGCTGCAAATAGATTCTTGTTGAAACATCAAAACTCGATCGATTAATGCAGTTCCTTGGGGCAGGAAGATTGAGGTCAAGCTTAAGATCAAGCTGCTCTCTATCACCAGTAAAACTTGATCTTTGGGTTTGCTGAACTTGCTTTATGTTGTCTTTATAACTTTGAAACTTAATTAACGAGGGAGTGTGATCAGCAGGTGGATTCGGTGTGATCCAATGACATCTTTTGTGTCCTCCTAATGCTTGTCCCGACGTAAATACCCGATGACATATTGAACATTCGTGTACTTTTGATTTCGTTTTAGATGTCGAGGCCAACGTATTGACTTGAAAAGTCGGGATAGATTTGACGACGAAAAGTTCATCACGATCGTCGTCGGCTAAACTATCGTCTCTACCGTTATGATCGTTATCGAGCCGTGCTGCGAAACATCCCTTTACTTTCTTATGACTAGCTCTATGTCCACCCAATGCTTGATGGGAATTAAATACTATCTTGCAAGCTTTGCACTCGAACACCCCTTTTGCTACACCTTTGGCCTTATCCATAGGTATGCTAGGCCTATATGAAATGGCAGTAATGAAATCCATCGTGTTTCCTGTCTCTTCTTCTTTGCTAGCGCAAGTACAAGACTCTTCAGGCTCGGTAACAAGAGGAACAACAACGGTTGCATTGGATAGCATCATCAAGCAATTGGCAACATCTTCCTCTTCGCTCGACTGACAATCGGAGACCGACGATCTTTTCCTCTTAGACAAATAACAAGATCCTTTCCTCGTCACGTCATCGTAATCGCCTTCCGACCCTGGCAACGAACCAGACAATTCAGCATCCTTAGAGCTGCATTTACCATACTCGAGAAAAGATTTCCATGAAAAGAACTCCTTGCCACAATTCTCACAAACCCTACAGCTCTTCAAACGATTAGGGTTTGTTCTTAACTCGTACATGCGCTTGTTGCTCGATGGCACGATGTTCGTTCCCGACTTGTCTCTCCACCCACTTGCAGTGTCATCGTCTTCGATGTACCGACTCTCGTCGCCTATTCCATGCGACCTCATGTGCCCTCCGAGCGCTCTCCCACACCCGAAACGTTTGTTGCAGATTTTGCAAAAGTATTTGAGTTCAGATTGTTGATCCACTATAAAAGCCATAGAAATATACAAATCAGAAAGGGGGGGGGGAATCTGGGAAATAAACGATGATGAAGTGAAAGAAGAATGGGAAAAGAAGGGTGAGCAGTTTGTTCTTGTATAGTGAAAGGGTTGTATGGTGAAAAATTAAGGGGACAATAGTCCTAGTTTTTAGTACGAGTAATGGATTGGTTTAATTATTTTTGTGGATGGAAAACATATATGGATTAGAAAAAGAAGAGAGCTAAATGGATAGGAGAGTAGAGGTTTGAAGAGCGAAGGTGACTAGGTGGTGACAAGTGGTGGGAGAAGGGAGAGAGTTTAGAGACTTTTTCTCCGCCTTTGTGGTGGTGCGTTGGTGGCGCCGCCGGTCAAACACCAATAAAAATATTACAAAAAACCAACGGAGTTCCGCACAACCAGTGAGTGTTGAGTGTTGAAGTTAATCTTTTGCGTCTCTGACAACATCTAAAGACAGAGAGAGAGAGAGAGAGAGAGAGAGAGAGAGTAGTGATGAGAGTGGTTCAAATTTCAAGCTTCAAACACATACCTTCAATTCCAAGCCAACAAAACTAAACCCCATTTCTGCTTTCCAATTCTCCTTGTCTGTCGGTTGGTTCAATCTGCTTTTCCACAGTTTAAAACGTTTTTCATCTCTCTATATTAATATTATTTTTAGAATAATTATTTAATGTATAAGTTCTCATTGTTTTTAATTTCACAAGTAAATTCAGAAGTCGTCACATTTTATTAAATGATATTTAAAAAATTAAAAAAACAACGAATCAAGTTGGAGAGAGGGAGAATTCATAACGAAGGTACATAAGTGAGCTTTGCTCTAATTGGACAATCTTATTATTAGTGTTTTTATAATTTAAGTTTATTTGATTTGATTCAAAAATTTTATAGGAAAATTTTACAACATTCGACGAGCAGCGATGAGCACAATAACGAAAAACACTATTAATTTAATTTATAAAAATTTAAATTCTAAATAACTAAACATATAATTATAAATTAATTAAAATTTTAAAATTAATTATTTAAAATAAAGGGTAAATTATACCGGTGACCACCTAACTATTGTCATTTTTCATTTTGAACAATATTTTAAAAATTTTGTCAGTCAAGTCACTCAACTATTTAAATGCATTCAATTAAGCCACTTGTCGTTAATATTTAACGGAGAAGCTGATGTGACAGTTAAAATATTTGGTATAATTTAACATTTGGTCACTTACTTATATATTATATCAATATGGTCCTAATTTTAATAATTTAAACTAAACTTAATCCTCAAACCTTTAATTTTTTTAAGTTATGACATATTCTATAGTTATAACAAAACAAAATTTCTACTAAAAATTCCATTTATGGTTCTTAGAAGCATCTCATCAATGGTACCATAACCTCTTTTGGTTTGATATAAATATAGAATATGTCGTAACTTTTAAAATTAAAAATAAAAAGTTAAATTTTTTATCATTATACATGGTATCATTTGATATGAGGGTTTAAGTTTATTTTAATTTATTAAAATTAGGACCAAATTGATATAATATATAAGTAACAGTGACCAAATGTGTAATTATACCAAATATTTTAACTACCACATCAACATCTCCGTTAAATATTAACGACAAGTGGCTTAATTAAATGTATTTTAATAGTTGAGTGACATGATTGACAAAATTTCAAAAATATTGGTCAAAATAAAAATGGGCAATAGTTAGGTGGTCAGCGTTATAATTTACCCTTTATTTTAAATAATTTATCTTTAAATTTTTAATTAATTTATAATTATATGTTGAGTCCTCTATAAATTAAATTTTTATAAATTAAATCAACGGTACTCATCATTAGTGATGTTCATAGCTGCTCGTCAAACGTAAAAGAATCATCCAATTTTATAATAGAATTTATTTGATGAAAATTAAGATAAAGAAACAAAATTGAGATACGTGGAGATGAGTGTTTAAAGACCGATACTTTCTATGTATTTGATCAGTAAATAAATAATAGAAGTTAAATTGATACATGTAATGTCAAAATAAATAATAGAGTTCTAAGAGAATTTGGAAGGGAACTTTAATACGATACAGCCAAGGGTTTCAGTCTGTATAATGAATCAGTGCATCATCATTTTTGTTGCTTTGGTTCAAAGCCAACGGGTTATAGTCAATCAAGTAGTGATGGTGATTTAGCAAAGAAGGGCTCTTGGTTAGCTCAGGCCAAGCTGTCTACTAATCAACTGCATTTTGTGCTCAACAACATCACTTCCATGCTTGGGATTGGGACCATTTCACAATGATTTTAATGTAGATGTATAGATTTGATGATATATTAGGTTAATGAAAGCCACCCACCGTTTCATTTGATGTGAATGTGGTCAACTAGCCATTTAATTTCTTCCTTTCATCATTGTTTAACTTCGACGGACCTTAAAAATCCAGTGTTGTTTTGGGCTCTTCACCCCACTAATAAAGCAAAGGGCTTAAGTATCATTATTGTTCCATAACTCGGTATACACGGTCCTTACCCATTAAAATGGCCCAATCCCAAAACCCATTATATATTTTTCTTAATGATAACTGTTGTTAACCGTTCACTTCTTTTAATTTAAAACGTGAAATATGATTAATGATCATACAAATGCATGAAAAGAGATGAGTGTATCGAACAAGATGATAAACAATAATCTTAGAATGAGAGAGAGAGCTCTTCTTCAACTTTATTTGACAGTTTATACAAGTACTCCTAATATTAGTGTCAAGTTTAAAGGCGATGGTGATTATTTGTAGGTGACAAGACGTGTAGATTTAATCGTATTAAATAGATTGTAACAGTTATAAAAATGTATAAATTTGATAGTTATAACGTGCCAATGACAATCATTAAAAGTATGATTTTATGAAGAAAATATAAAAGAGATGTACATATACGTGTGAGCGTGTGTGAAACGTTAATTGATCTTAGCAGCATACATGAAAAGGGAAGTCTCTTAGGACATAAAATCAAGCAGGAATATAATACTCTTAATGATAACTGTTGTTAACTGTTCACTTCTTTTAATTTAAAACGTGAAATATGATTAATGATCATACAAATGCATGAAAAGAGATGAGTGTATCGAACAAGATGATAAACAATAATCTTAGAATGAGAGAGAGAGCTCTTCTTCAACTTTATTTGACAGTTTATACAAGTACTCCTAATATTAGTGTCAAGTTTAAAGGCGATGGTGATTATTTGTAGGTGACAAGACGTGTAGATTTAATCGTATTAAATAGATTGTAACAGTTATAAAAATGTATAAATTTGATAGTTATAACGTGCCAATGACAATCATTAAAAGTATGATTTTATGAAGAAAATATAAAAGAGATGTACATATACGTGTGAGCGTGTGTGAAACGTTAATTGATCTTAGCAGCATACATGAAAAGGGAAGTCTCTTAGGACATAAAATCAAGCAGGAATATAATACTCTTAATGATAACTGTTGTTAACTGTTCACTTCTTTTAATTTAAAATGTGAAATATGATTAATGATCATACAAATGCATGAAAAGAGATGAGTGTATCGAACAAGATGGTAAACAATAATCTTAGAATGAGAGAGAGAGCTCTTCTTCAACTTTATTTGACAGTTTATACAAGTACTCCTAATATTAGTGTCAAGTTTAAAGGCGATGGTGATTATTTGTAGGTGACAAGACGTGTAGATTTAATCGTATTAAATAGATTGTAACAGTTATAAAAATGTATAAATTTGATAGTTATAACGTGCCAATGACAATCATTAAAAGTATGATTTTATGAAGAAAATATAAAAGAGATGTACATATACGTGTGAGCGTGTGTGAAACGTTAATTGATCTTAGCAGCATACATGAAAAGGGAAGTCTCTTAGGACATAAAATCAAGCAGGAATATAATACTCTTAATGATAACTGTTGTTAACCGTTCACTTCTTTTAATTTAAAATGAGAAATATGATTAATGATCATACAAATGCTCCGAATATTAGTGTCAAGTTTAAAGGCGATGATGATTATTTGTAGGTGACAAGACGTGTAAATTTAATCATATTAAATAGATGGTAACAGTTATAAAAATGTATAAATTTGATAGTTATAACGTGCCAATGACAATCATTAAAAGTATGATTTTATGAAGAAAATATAAAAGAGATGTACATATACGTGTGAGTGTGTGTGAAACGTTAATCGATCATAGTAGCATACATGAAAAAGGAAGTCTCTTAGGACATAAAATCAAGCAGGAATATAACACTCTTAAATTTTTTTAGACCAACCAATGCAATTATTAAAGTTGAAAGGTTAGGTGCCTGTTGAAGGACATGGCAACATAATTATTATGATCTAAACTAAGGCACATGTTCATTGAACCGATTGCAATTTTGCTATACATATTGACTGTCCGGTTAACAAAAGTCTTGGCCTATACATATTACATTAGAAAACAAAAGAAATATATTTGAAAGGCATAGTGGCACCGTAGTTGCCCTTACAAGACAAAATATGAACAATAATTGTTGACGTCGGGTCGTCGGTGGGTAAGGCAGCCACATCTACAGAGAATCAAACATTTTCGACTTATTCCAGGGCAAGTAGGCAGATGTATCCAATACGATTAGATTATGGCACACGATTGCCCAAACACAAACATTTTAATTGTACACTGAACATAAAATCAAATAAATTAATGTTTATTTACACCAATTAATCATTCTCCAGTTCAGAATATAAAGTAGAACTACAGAAGATGCCTTTGCTTTATTTCCTCTTTCCTTGTCTTCTGTTGGTAATACATTGTAATCGCACTTTGATGCGAATCAGCAAATACCACATTCTTTTTTACATAAAGGAAGTGCTATTAGTGCATTAAAAACGAACACTTTTTTTTATTTTATGAAAAGCATTCCCTTTTTGCTTTTGCTTTTGATAAAATTAATGTTAAATCACCAGTTCCAACTCACTGGCCTTTGATTCTTCGTCGACATATAAAAAGAACTGGTTTTTTTGTAGATGGCTGGACAGTGGACAGTAAGGTCAAACTGAAATTAGCCTTAAACAACATTAAAACCACGTTAAATGCTTATGTTATTTTACTTTATTGTGTCATCGTCTTCCTGTGTCAAGTCATTTAAAAATATTTTAACAAAATAATTTACCATATCGTCAATTTAGACTCTTAGTAACGTTATGCCAGTAGTTTGTACATAAGACATTAACGATATTAATATTTATGTACACATGATAGTGTCATGTTGTTATTTTGGATGCATAAGACTTCTTACGTCAATAATAAGTATTAACTGTCAGTTAACTAATAATTTTCATTTAACTATGAGTACAAACATTATGAATGAACTTCAACATTATATCTAAAAAAATATAATCTAATGTAGATTGTTATCCTGAACATGTATACTCATGTCCCTATGATACTAACACTTGTTTTAGATCAAAATTTAAATATTTAAAAAAATTAAAAACTCGTTGTGTTTGGGGTTAGCGGGGAAGGCCCCGGAGAAATTGGGCTTGAGTAGTAATGAATACTGATCAAAATCAAGTTGTAATCTTTTACTGGTTAACCCTGAAATATACATTAATTAAACTTTAAATAAAAATTTATACATAACTCTGAATCTAACTTGAAACAAACCGCCAAATATATTTACACATAAAATCTTTACAATAGCTAATGTATAAATTATAACATACCCATTGCAAATGCAAAACCGGGAGGATGAATATTCCCAGATTTAATGATGGTAAAATCACAACAAAATGCGAGCAATGTGATTGTATCTTCTTTCTTCAACCTGTTTCGATTTAATTTCTTCAGCACATCTCAGAGTCTTCTCGATGTGGTATCCTCCTCCGATGCTTACTTCCCTCTCTAAATGACTGCAATAGCTCTCGAACACACACACATTCACATGTAATTTGAAACTCATCAAGAACAAGAATTCAACTTCCAAGTGATTCAATTCATCTGTTGTTAATCCCCCAACTCGTGCAAAGTATGAGTTTCTGTAATTCCTGAAAAAGAAAACAGGTGAATCAGAATCCAAATCACATGTTTTTCTGGTGAAAAATCAAAGTTTTTAAAATTGGTGAAGGCTATAACACTCACACGTCTTCAAAATACTTGGAAGCGACCATGATCGTCGTGATGAGAAGTCTGTGTACATTTCTCGCATTGATTCGAAACCAAGGATTCGCCTGGCAAAACCGGTCGATATAGACGTAGGCCACGACGTAAACCGACGGTCCGGCTTTGGTGTAGCGGAAGATTCTCTCCAGGTAAGATTGAATCGTCATGTCGGGTGTCTCGTGGCAATCGAAAACCCTGCTCTTCGATGCCCATCGACAGTTCTTGGCAATCCTCTCGTTTCTCGCCACTGTTCTCTCGATGAGCGAAGCGAGAACTGATATCACCAGCGGCGTGTTGGCGTCGTTCTGATAGGAATAATAGTACAGATCCGATCGAAGCTTTCTCGGAGATATTATAAGTGAAGATGCAGCCATTGATTAAAGTTAAAAAACTACTGGGAATAAGCTTGGAATCTGTGAAGAGAGAGAGAGATGAAGGGAAAAGGACTTTGGGTGATACAAAAAAAATGCGAGGTTTAATGAGGATTTTATAATGGGTTTAGGGACATTTTGGAAGGTGGGTGGAAGGCTAAAAATAATTCACCAGTATCGATTTTCAAGGATTTGAATGCTTCCTCCATGTAAAGCCAAAGTACAGACAAACCAGCTAAGCTTTTCAACAATAAAAAAACCACTCGCTTTCTCTGCACATCTAAACCAACAGTCTAGATTGGTCGCCGACAGTGAGTTGAAGGGCAAGAATGGGGGAAATGAAGGAAAAGACCCAAGTAGCCTCCCTGGTTTGGTTTGGACCAAAGATGAATATTTCACCAGAATTCCATGAGTTTGGACCCACAAGACTAGACTGTATTTATTGCAGTAATAGAAGTACTTGCATCCAAAAGACTCGACTCGATCATCGGGTACACGTGCAGTAAGCTAGTATTTGGTATTTGACTTGATAAAATCTTGATTTTCTACCTGTGGTTATACCATGTGGGATTTCCTTCTTTCCAGTGATTTGCAACGCTAACCATGCCGGCAAGTATTTACTGTGGATCGTGCTCTCTTCTTGCCCAGCGTCAGACTACAGTTAATATCTCACTTTCAAATTCATTGGGTTTTTGTTTGTTTTCTCCAAGTTGCGTTCAGTATTTTGCTTGTAACTTAAAGCACACCGACAGTGTATGCAGCTCTTTTACTTTCATGTAACTTAAAACTCCACAAACTGAGATAAAAAAAGGTTGGATTTATTATCTTCTCCTACATAGAGATTAGAGATATTAACATCGGTTAATCATCGTGTGATCATCGACCGTATTTTTTCACATAAATCAAAAGAAATAAATTACTTATAATCATCGTTGTATATATAAATATATAAAGACAGTTTATTTTGTAATAATAATAGTAGTAGTGAACAGGGAAGTTGTAACATATATACCAGGATTTCTTACACGTCAGTGCCGATCACTATTCCAAGAGTAAATGTAGAAAGAAAGTTTATTTCGTAATACAAGTGGGCAATGCCTAAAATGATGGTCGAGTACAAACACTGTTATTTAGATTTTGAGAATCAAATCAGAGACTGAAGAAACTAGAAAAATAATGAAATGAAGATCTGGTGGAGCGATGTGGGTCAAGCGGAGTCTTCTCAATTCACATCTAGATGACAGACAAATCGTGGGTACTCTCCGTATCGTTCTTCGCCACAAGAACCAACAACCTGTTTGTAAATATTAAATACTTCCCAAGGAATTTTGGTCCACCATGCACAAATATCTAACCAAATTTTGTGGCTTCCAATAAATATTTAACTTCAGCCCAATTTTCACTCCCATAACGTAATAATGTTTGTGACTAGTAAAACATGATCTATATGGTCAAATTATAAAAATATATATATATAATATAATATTACATAATATTCTAATGTATATTAGAATATTATGTTATATATGATACATATCATTAATTATAAAAAAGGAATGCTTATATGAAAATTATGAAATGATTAAACCTATAAACATGATTAAATGTTACCGATAAGTGGGGAGTTTAGTTTGTTGAAGAGAGAAACGTAATTCTTATTTCTGACATATAAGAGATGATATACATGTAAAAGAAAAATAATAATGATCTTGAAATCAAAATCATTCAGTAAAATCACTCTACAAAGACATTTTAGACCATATACTATACTCCATACCACGTTCTATACATTTTAGACATGTTTTTTTGGGAAGAAAACCTCTTCCATGTAAAGTCGAACCGACAATTCACTGATCCATCCCATTCTTCACCTAAAAACTTGTCCTCAGTTGCTCAAACCCTGGGCTCGAAAACCAATTCCCGATGTTCAATGTGATCCACAAATTCTTGTTGAAAATCATATCTTTATTGAAAATGATTTGGGCCGCCATAATCTTTTAAACACCATCCTTGTTTTCGCCTCAAAAGTTGTTCAACTGATGTTTTCTCGACAAGGATACGAGGAAGTTGTTTTTTGAGCTTGTATTAAGACAGATCAAATTTTCCTAAAGGCACGTATAGCTCCCTGAAGGTGAAAAAGACCGTATGAAATTTGTCCGAACCGGGCCAAGACAATTTTGTTTGCTAGGCCTAATCTGAACCACAAGGCTGCAATGATTCGGCTCAACACTAGCCCGATGGGTATCAAACTTTTTGATTGGTTGAGCTTTTTTTTTATTTAACCGATAATTTTTAATAGGTATAATAATAAAAACTATCTATAGCATATTGATTAACTGCTTATTTTCGCCTTTATTAATTTTTTATGAAGTATTTTATCTCTTAACATTTTATTTTGAGGCAAAAAGATCATTTTATGGATGAAATCGTTAGTCAACAAATTGTCAACACTTCAAAACACGAGTTTTTTTCCCTAAAATAAAATTTTTGGAGCTAAAATACTCCAAAAAAGAATAAGAGCTAAAATTATTATTTAGTCAAACATTATGATTCGTTTTGTCTTAAAATAAAACATTGGAACCATATACTCCAAAAAATATAAACAAAAAATAACTATATAGTCAAATGTTAAAAATACTTTTTCACCTTTATACATTTTTAATATTAACTCAAACAATTTATTAGTTCACATAAATATAACCTAATTGAATTGGTTTAATATTCTTAATGTCACTTTACATAAATCTTAATCCCTCTCACTTTTTTTTTCTTTTGTGTTATTTGACTTTTAGTTTTTTTATATTCACTCTGTTTAATTAGGTTTTTTTTCTTCATATAAAAATGTTGGATGATTTTATTTAGTTTTATTTAGGCAATCCAATGATTTTATAAGTGTCCGATTTATGTAATTAATTTATTCTTATTTCAATGGGTTATTCATGTAAATCTTGAATATTTTAGCTTTTATTTAATAAAATTATTGATTCAGATTTATTAACTTGCAGAATGATTAAAAATACTTAATCTTATGCGAGTTCAAACCCTAATATTATTATTGAGAATATAAAGACACATTCAACATAAAAATAAAACTAACCATTACTGTTAATTCATTAAATCTTATACTCCTACTGATTATACATTATAAATATATATATATATATTTAAATTAAATAAGGATATAACATATTAAATTGATTGATTCGATTTTAAATTTTAATAACGGTAAATATAAACTAATCAGTTTATCCTAATAAACCAAATTAGTACACTTAATCGGTAAATATATGAACCAAACGACTTCGATGGTAAATAAATTATTATTATTCTTTAAGTATTAGATTCAAACACGATAAATGTAAGTAGTAATGTTTAATATCAAATGATTAAAATTTATATTTTTTTAACCTATATTAGCTTATTAAATTAATTTAAAAAACTAACCGACAATAATTTAGTCGAAAAATCTGAACATAGCCTGTGGTGATGTCATAATCCAAGCGTTTCAAACTCCAAACTCCAATCACACAGACTTATATATGCTTTGAACATAGCCTGTCGCATTCACGTCAATGATGCTTACAAGTGCTGAATCTAATATCTTTTGGGGTCCCTACGTTGAAAAGTAGTCAAGCTTTTCATCTTTTTTCCCTTTTAATTTTTCGAAAATAATTGGGGGGGGGGGGAATCAACTAATGCAAAAGCTATCCCATTATTAATGATAACCTTGAATTTCGAAGCCGGGAAGGTTAACCTTATCATAAGGTCATATGTGTGCGTATATACGCGTCAAATTATCCAAAAGGCCAAAGTTAATGGAGAAATTTGTGTGGTGATTCCTCAATTCAACTTGACAAATGAGTATCCAATCATTTACATGTTTTATCTTTTTGTGAACACTACAAGTTAAGTTGCCTGGAAAAGTTGACAAAAAACACAGATGTTGATTGATTACCCACCATTCAATTACAGTATAAGTCGAACTAATTTACCTCGACACTTAAATAAATTGGTGTTGTTTTTAAAGATCACAAGTTCGAATATCAACGGTTATAGTATGGTAATTGAGTATTCATTGTCAAATATTGAAATATTTAAAATAAATATTAATTTATAATTAACTTAGCATAATAAAAAGAAATTACAGTACAGGTCGACTACCAAGTGATCTATCTAGTTTAGGGTTTTGTTTTACTTGGAAAATGCCCTTATATATCTCGCAACTATAATCTTTTGTTATTACATTGGTGTAAGAGTTGAAACTCAAATTTTTGTACGTAGCTAAAGTAATGGTTTGAAGCTTAGCTCTTAGAACCAGACGCCGGTGGTTGTTGCATTTGCTGATAAATAGCGGCCAGCCGGCTGTAAGCATCCATGGTCATCGGCTGCACCAAAAAGGCGATACATTCATAATCTGTGGGGTATGATGCTTTTAAAATGATAGAAAACAAACGGCACCTGTGATTGGCACGCCAAGAACAAGGAAAGAGGGTCCGGCATTGCAGAGGCAGCTTGGTGTAACCGCTCACCGGAACCATCCCAGGAAGTCATATTCATCAAAGGATTAGGCATAACGGGCGAGATGCCCACCATGTTGGGACGGACGATACCGCTCATATCCATAAAACCCATGCCCATCCCCATCGCCGGAGCCATCACCGACATTTGGGGGTGCTGTTGCATTGCCATCGGCAACATCATTGGTGGTGGTATGTTCATCCTGTTCATCAAGTGAACTTGTGCTTGCAGTTGTTTCAGATAGTCAATCACTTCGTCTAGCATCGAAGCTTTGTCGGTCTGTAATAAACACAAAACCAATAATATACATATATATATATATATATATATATATGTAACTGCTTTATAAAGTATGGATACCTGAAGCAACAAAGATAAGGATCAAAATAAAAGGAATCTTCATAACTTTACGTCTAATCTCATATATGCCATGCCGACTATATATTCTTTTATCAATAATAAAATAGACATAGAATCTACAATTAAAAGCTGCTTAAGAATAAAGACGATGCATGAAAGAGAATTTTAAGTGGATTATTATTAATATATGTTTAAGAAAATCTTGTGGACGACGACACAAAAAGTTTGCCCTAGGTGAGTGGATGAAGTTGTTTCTCAGTCTTTAGTAAAAGAACTCTAAATCGGAACAGATGAAAACAAAGAAAAAAATCATCTTTTATTTTTATTCGACGAAATTTGCAGTGAATTTTAGCCATTAATACTACCTTCATACGTTACAACTTAACTCTACAGAGATAAAAAAAAACGTACCTTGCTAGAATTGGGAACCAGCTTCTGTAATGTCTTCATCCTTTGGTTTATCTTGTCTCTTCTTTTCTGGAAATTTAACGACCCAAATAACTTAATTAATACTTCCTTCTTGTAAAATTGTTAAAAAAATTCAAATTAAAACTCAAGGTGGAGAAAGCGTACACGTTCAGACTGGTTATGGATGGCAGCAGCTCTGCATCTTTTATTTAAAACTGAAGCTTTCCCAGTTTCCTTCTTCTCCTCCTCCATTCTCTCCCCCTTTAACACGACCAGAATAAGAAAGACAAGCAAATGTATATACATGTAGTTTCAGGATGCAATAGTAATTAAATGGAATAACTTTACCTGGGGTGTACTGTGACAAACAGAGTCGTGATCATCGGCGGCGGTGGTGGTGTCTCTGGTACAGGGTTTTGTAGAGCTTGTGTTTTCCGGGGAACCAAAGGAATTAGAAGTAAAGCCCACGCCCAAATCTTTCTCATACGTATCAAAAGTAACGTATTGGTGGCTCTCTCTCCCTAACGTGGCACTGGCGCTTGCGCTTTGTTTTTTGCCGCTCCACTCCGGTGTTACAGGAACACAACCCGCCGCCGCCCGTGTGCATTTCCCGGTGACGAGTATATCATCGTCTTGTGTACCGGCCGGCACACTACAGGATCCCACCTTAGTAGAGCATCCCCCCAAGCGAGATCTTCCGATTCCCGGAGTCCAGTTATCCTCCGACGACCTTTTCGAGCAAGGAACCAAAGCATCCGCCGCAGAACGGCGTTGGTCTAAACAGGGTACAATTTCATCCCCTCCGCCGTGAAGAGAAACCTTAAGATACGGAACACGAGTGGCCTGGTTCACTATGGACTCCAAAGTGCCATTAGCCCGTGGCTTATCCCAAGTATTGTACTTAGAAGGAGCGTTGGAAATCAAGGGCTTAGCCGGAACACGTGCCGGACCTAAACCATGCATGGCTAGTTGGCCATTTTCCCATGTTAATTCCGCTACTTCATAGTCCGACCTGCAAAGTAAACCACAAACATCAATTCAAACAAGAAAACTCACAAAATTCAGTAAATCACTGATTCAGTCGAGACCAGTTTCAGTGCTTACGTATGTACATCGGCGGCGGTGAAGTTGGAGTTAGAGCGGAGGGAGTGGCGGCTGGTGGCATGATTATCGTCCACATCCCAACTGGGAACACACTGACTCATTTCCAAGGAACTATATCCTTTTTTTCTGGAACTAATTGTTGTTTTTGGTTTTGACGTTCGCAAATTTCATGGTTCGGACAAGGATGTAGTCATAAAGAGGCAAGTGGTGATGGAAAAAACAGTAAAAATGTGGTTCCTAGCTTTTATTATAATGGAGGTAAGAATTATCACAATCAATTGAAGAGTGAGAAAGATTCTGGTCCATGTATATATACGTCGTGAGAAAGGGAAGTGGTGCTTGAAATAACCATATGAAATATGGAATGATGATGGGTAACGCGGCCATGTCCAGCGTAATCAAGGTCAATCCGTGCATTTGATTTCGCTTTTGCCTTTTGATTAGGAGAGCATGAAATAAAATCTCATATTGTTATCTCATTGTGTTGGGGAAGAACATGAAATCTGTACAGGACTAAATGAATCGATTTTAACCTTATTAGAATAATATTTGTGTTTGTTTATTTATTTTTAAAGTGTTCATGTTTAATTTATGTTTATTTAAATTTTTAATATTATGTTTGCGTTCATTTGTTTATTTTTGCAGGTGTTTGTGTTCAATTCATTTAGTGTTTACGAACATGTTCGTTTAAAGTTTGTAAACATAGCTATTTATATATTTGTTTAGCGTTTACGAATATGTTCTTCTATATGCTTAGAAATGTTTTCAAAAATGATGAATTACGCCATTGGTATATAAGTTCCTTAGACTTTACAATTTAAACTCCAAAGTTTACCCTATGTTCAATTTAGTCCATGCTTTCATCAATATTTAAAATAAAAAAGGAAAAGAAAAACCAAATAAACAAGCTTATAAATATGCCAATAAATGAGCTTGTTCATGAATATAATCGAATAGGATATACTTCTATTTGTGTTCGTTTTTTTATTAAATGAAAATATATATTTTGTTCATACTCACTTATAAATGAACATTATATGAATGATTCAAAAATAATTTATCGAACCCACTGTTTATTTATACTCTTCTCTAATGAGGGTGATGGTGGAGCACCTAATCGGATACTCAAGTGAGAACTGAGGCTAGTTCTTTTAGGCCTCGGTTAGTGTGACTTTCTAAAACCACTTTTAGCTAAAAAAGTTTATTTTAATCGCAAAATCAATGCCAAACAAGTGAAAAAAATGAAAAAAAATACGGTGAAAATAGTCGTTTCAAAAAACCACAAAATTTAGAATTCCTAGCCTTTTCATTTTCAACTTGACATTTGAAAGCAAATTATAATTTTACCCTTATTAATGCATGGGCTCCAATCAATTATATATTTACATTTTATTTTAATAATTTAATACTAAGATCCTTAAAAAATAATTTATTACTTAATAATTTAATTTAATTACTCAAAAGTAAATAAAATTCATGGTTTATGTAACACCCTGAACCCCGGGTTAGTAGTCCGGGTCAACTCGAGACCCATTATTTGACCCCAAAGGATTTATTATTTTAGTTTAGACAAAGTTTAGTGTTTTGGGCTAGAATTTTGGCCCAAGAGTTAAAGATGGGTGATGAGAATGTGGAGAATTAAAATGAAGAGGGACTAAATATGCAAATTTCCCCTTTTATTTTTGAAAGTTGAAAATCCCCCTTCTTATTATAAGTTTACGTAAACCACTCCTCTTATCTTCTCACCGAACTCTCTTCTCCTTCCTTCCATCTTTTTTCTCTTCTCATTCCTTTCTTAAGCTGAGATTTTAAGGGTTTCAAGTATGAGTGTGTTTAACCAAGGTAAGGTTATTAATCTCCATTATTCAAGCTTTAATTCAAGTTCCATTTCTCAAGTTTTTCATTAGTTAGAAAAAATGGGTTTTTGGTGGAAGTCAATGGAATGAATGGATTTTTACTTGCTCTAGTAGATTTTAGTTATAGGAAACATTTTTTATGGATTAATCCAACCATTTAGTTGAGTTAGTAACACCTTTCATTACCTTTGTTAATAAAAGAGATGGGAGAAAGCTCAAGAGCAAGAGGAAAAGAAAAGTTGACCTTGGGTTGATTTGGGGAGAGTTATAGCCATAAAAAAGCAGGGTAACACATTTACAACTCCCTCATACCATTTGTGGGTCACTAGAAAATGTATGATAGCTAGAAAGTTAAAATTGAAGCATGTATGATCATCCATGGTAGATTCTAGCTTATGGTGTTATTTGACTTGTTTAAAGCCCCTTTATGATCCATTTTATCATGTATAAACTTATGTTGGTTAATTGGAAATGTTAGAATGGTTTTGTAAGGGTTTGGAAGTGTTTAAACGGGTATAAATTTGAAGTTGTAGAAGAGGTTTCGAAACCACCATGGTTGGTTTTGAAACCAATGGTTGGTTTCGAAACCTTTGTCCATAATGTAATTTCAGGAAAAGGCTTCGAAACCATTATAGTAGGCTTCGAAACCTTTATAGTAGGTTTCGAAACCCCCTCCTCAAATCTAAAATAATTTATGTTGAGGTTTCTAAACCTCTACAGTAGGTTTTGAAACCTTTTACTGATTGAGGCCAAATAGGCCAAAAAGGGTACACATATGGTTGTGGACTTATAATATGCTTCTAATTAGGGATAATTTCAAATAAAATAATAAGTGAGAATACAATATTGCTAAATATAATTAGAAACGAGAAAAAATAGGGCAACATAAAACTAGCATTGATTGATGCTCAGGAAATGATCAGGACACCCGAGTTCTTTTAGTAAGATTATGGTGTCGAAGTATAGAATCAGTTCAGACATCCTTAGGTAGTGCGCGAGGCACTTTAAACTGACTAACTACGGTCGAGGCCCGACACTTGCGAGGGTTAAGTTAGTTGAGGGTGATGTGTCCAATGTAGGGATTCTGGGTCTCATCCTCGGTAGACTAAAGGGGTGTGTGAGCTCCAAGATGCAGAACCATCAGCCACACCATGATGTCTTCCATAAAGTAGAAAGTGCAGTACACGAGTATACTTACTATTTCAGTACTATTAGTTAGCTTGTGCATGACATGAGCACTTATAGTATGACTTAGTTGTTAGTGTGGAACGGGGCTAGTTAGCTCAGTGTTTATAATTTGTTTCCTTATGCAGGTTAGGTCGAGGAACAGTCAGAGGAATTTTTTGCTAGCAGTGATCTAGACTAGACTATTGCAGAGTACATCTCGAGTTCATCTTAGAGGGCATGTATATTTATAAATCCCATTTTGTATATTCGATTCATAACTTATTTTAAAAGATGGTTTATATAATTTGAAATATTATTTTGGGAGCTCCTGACTGGAAACTATTTTATTAAAATTTGTGGTTGATATATCTTAGCATGAGTATTTACAAATGATTAATTTTTTAAATGAATAAATTAAAAGAAAATTTTTGGTCAGTCTGATGTGGTTCCGTGTGACATTCTGATCGGTCGACTGTGTGTCACACTGGTCTAGGGTGTTACAGTTTATATATTAAAATATTAATAGCGAGTTATTATAAAATATATTATTATTATGATTATATTTTTATTTGTATTTTTTATATTTTTATTATAGTTGAAATTGATATATTTTATATAATAATAATAATTTATTTTAAATTTATTTACAATATATATATATATATATATATTATTTTTGAATGGTTAAAATGATAAATATATAGTTAAATTATGCTATTTTAAATTGTAAACGAGTGATTGTAGTTGAATTGGATAATTAAGCATGTAACACCCCCCAACCCGTACCCGACCCGAATACGAGTCCGACGTTTCACATTGACTTTTCAATCATTTATTCGTATAAAATAGTGAGTAATTCAAAAACTTGGATAACATTTAACTTATTCAAAACGTTTACAAAATATATCAGAGTTCATACAATTTATATCTTTAGGCTACATGCCAACTACACTTTATATACCGTACATATATTTTCTGATCTGACAATTGGGTAAGGAGAACTGACCTGTCTTGCTCCTCTTAGCTCTTTACTCTTTTCACTTCTGTAACCTACGTGTGAAACAATCACACGCTAAGTTGACTTAGTGAGGCATATAAAACATATAATATAACCATATATCATTTCATATAAATAAAAGACATACATATGCAAACACTATCAATAATCATTTCCACTTACCATATACTCATCATATAACACATATATCACTATACCCAGAAACACACATAACATCCTATAATTCATGTATATGCATTCATATCATTGAATCATGACATATCAATATGCATGAATCTATTGTATGATAACAATATACAATCAGGTCATGCACACATGCAACTTACCTTCTTGTATCACTTTCACTTTCATTTGTCTTTCAATTTCATTGCCCATGTATCTTATTGAGATTAGAGGTATGTGAGTGCATTGAGGTTGTGCACTAATGCTGTCACCACAGCTCGTATCTATTCCCTCATGGGGCACCGAACCTTAGTTCAGTATTCGTCCCGTAGGACTCCTACATCCCGAAGGACTACGTCCCGAAGGACTACATCCCGAAGGACTACGTCCCGAAGGACTACATCCCGAAGGACTACATCCCGAAGGACTACGTCCCGAAGGACTACATCCTGAAGGACTACGTCCCGAAGGACTACATCCCGAAGGACTACGTCCCGAAGGACTACATCCCGAAGGACTATAATACCCTCGACTCTTGGCATGCCAATTACACCTATAATTCTCATATCGTATACTATGGGCATTATTCTTATACATTTCGTATCACTTGTTCTTTCTATTCTGTCACATACCATGTGTGTAACCATATCTATCATATCACATGTATATATACATGTATTCACGTAATCATTTCATGTAGTTCATATCACATATATCACATGTGCATATAAGCTTATAGCTTCTTTCACATATACATGTAGTCACATAGCTTTCTTTCATGTAACTATGCATGTCATGTCAAAACATATATCTATGTTGCATTTCACTTAAGCATATAAATATAACATAGCATCCATCTATTTCTATGTATTAATGCATACATGGTAATCACATAACAATTTAGAAGTTACTTCTTACCATAGT